AATAAATAACGCTAATAATAATAATAACAATAATATTATTAAAAATAACCATAATAATAAATAACTAAAATAATAATAATTGTAACAAGCCATTTCACGCATGACTTACCAAAAGTATTAGCCTGTATAATCATTGTTTGAATCCTTCTTAAGCGTTCCTCAATAGATTTATACAGACACACACACACACGCACGCACGCACTCACACACACAGATATATATATATGTATATATATATATATATACAGAGAGAGAGAGAGAGAGAGAGAGAGAGGGAGGAAGAGAGATGGAGAGAGAGAGAGAGAGAGAGAGAGAGAACCATTTACTAACATTGTTTTGTTCTTGCATTTTAAAATCGCTTTTGATAAATTTTAAAAATTTAATGGGCTCTCTAGAAATAGTGAACTATACATATATATATTGAAAAACTTGAATTAAAACAACCTTTTATTCAGCAAAATATCACAATAATAAATTACTAGGAGAAAAGAAAAGTAAAATAACTTCTAATAAACAAAATATCAAAATAAAAATAAAATACACGGTTTGACCAGAGCAATTTCTAACATTATTAAACGATGAAAAATAATTTAATTTTTTAAAAAATAAAAAATAATAAAATAAATTGTTAACATGCATTGGTAAATCCCATAGGCGACTGAATTAATTATGAAATTTGTGCGAGGTTTCGGTAAGTAAAAATCCGGGTCATTTCTTAAAACTATGGACGGTGATTTAATAAATGATTGAACTGATGGTTTAATGAGGGATAGTAATTTAATTTAAATAATTTATAAAAAAAAAAAATGAAGTAAATAGAATGTGTACCTAATTGATAAATTTTCAAAATTTTTGATGACTTTTAAAAATAACCAATGTGATCAGATTTAGTTAAACCGAACTGTATAGGAAGTAAAAAATTTTGACAAACGTTTAAAATATGGATATTTGACTTTGTACCAAAACCCCAAATAAATATACAATATGTAAAATATGGCAAAACCATTGAATAATATTATGTAAATAAAACATGGCTAGGAAATTTAGACCTAAGAATATATCACACTGAATTTTTTTTTAACTTTTTGTGGAATCATTTGAATATATTTAGTCCCTGATAAATTGCTTGTTATAATATATATATATATATATATATATATATATATATATCTGTTGGTAATAGACCATAATTTTTAAAGTTTTTTTAAAACTTTAATGAGAAAAAACGAAGTACAAACATATTAACGCCAAACATTTGGTAGAATTTATAGAATATTGTAAATATATATATATATATATATATAACATATATGTAAGCAGTATTGTATGAATTCTATCAATACTGTATAAAATATGGTCTCCTTCCAACATATATATGTGTGAGTATATATATTTATATACATATATGTGTGTATATATATAGAAATATATATATATATATAGAAATATATATACATATATAGAAAGAGAGAAAGACAGAGAGAGAGAGAGAGAGAGAGAGAGAAAGAGAGAGAGAGAAAGGGAGAAAGAGACTTTTTTGTTTTTGCGTTAATGAGGAAATTAATTCAATTCATTAGAGTACGACCTCTCATTAATAAATTATCTTAGCATCAATAAAAAATTATATGCTTAATAAATATGGAATAAAATAATAATAATAATAAATAATAATGATAATAATGGATAAATAAATAAAAAATATTAACATATTTCCAACTCAATTATTATCAATATAGTCGTTGTCACGGTCGTCATCATCAACAACAACAACAACATTCTCTTCAATAACAACAACATTTTTATCACAACAACAACAACATCGTCAACAACAACATCAACACATCGTCAACAAAAACAACATCGTCAACAACAACAACAACAACATCAACATCGTCAACAACAACATCGTCATCACAACCGACCATATCGTCATCATCATCATCATAACACCAATCGTCGTCGTCATCATTATCATCATCACTTTTATAATTTTTTGTGTTTTCATAAAAATGCGTCTAAGGGTGATTTTAAAGTTTGTCATGGTCAGCTTTATAGTTAGCGGTCAGTTGAGTTATGATGATGATGTTGTGTTGGTGATGATGATGATAATGATGATAGTGACGATGACGATGATTTCATTTATTTATTCAGTTATCCATCATCAAATCTATCATCCATTCGTTTGTTCGTTCGTTCGTTCATTCATTCGTTCATCCATCCATCCATTCAGTTGTAGTACTATTAAACCGGGAGAAGACAGTAGTGATAAAGTATGTAAATACTAAAGAGCATGCAGCAATCTGTGGCGTTAGTTTTATATTATTTTAATAATAATAATTTGTGTGTGTATTTGTTTGTTTGTTTATCTGCAGGTCTATCTATCTGTCTGCCTGTCTGTCTGTCTGCCAGCTTAACTGTCTGTATGTCTCTCTGCCTGTTTATCTGTCTGTCTGTTTGCATTTTTAATTTTAGGAATTTTTCTCAAATGTTGTTTTTTATAATTCCTACTAGAATTCAACTCGGATAATAATCCCGATTACGACATCATCGTCTTCATCATCCGCATCTTCATCTTCATCACTTCATCATCATCAGCAAGACAGCAGATTAGGATGTTGGTCCATTCTATAAAAGGCTTGTTGAGCGGACATTCCTGTTCTTTATACGTGCATGTCGTAATTATCGGTTCATCATCATCATCATCGTCATCCTCATCATCCTCATCGTCGTCGTCGTCATCAGTGAATTTGTTGAAGAAGATAGTGTTAAACCTGTTGAAGACTTGGAACTCTGCCGACTGTTAAGTGCACATTCATTTTTATTTCTGTTATTATTATTATTATTGTTATTATTATCATAGTAGTAGTAGTAGTAGTAGTAGTAGTAGTAGTAGTAGTAGTAGTAGTAGTAGTAGTAGTAGTAGTTTTAGTAGTAGTAGTAGTGGTGGTGGTTGTGGTAGTAGTCATACTTTGTAAAATTGTTTTTCAAAAATTCATCCGTCCTTAACAGTGCGTTATGAGGTGCATGAGATGAACGAGAACCACTTAAAGAAGTTGTCATCATCGTCGTCGTCATCACGATCATTATCATCATCATCGAAAACATCATCATCATCACCACAATCATCATCTTCTTCATCATCATCATCGGAGTTTTACCTGAATTATGTAGCGCACCTTTGCCAAAAGATTAAAAATGCATCCAAGGTGAATATGGAATGAATGAATGAGTGAGTGACTGAATGAGAAAGTGAGTGAATGAGTAGATAGATAGATGAATGGAGAAATAAATGAATGAGCAAATGAGTGAATGAACAAATGAGTGAAAAAAGGAATTAATTAATTGATTGATTGATTATTGCATTAATTAATATAGTAAGTAATGAAAAAGCGTATAAACGAATGGGTAAAACTAAATTAGACGAAAGACTGAATGAAAGAAAATGTAACAAGCCTAAAAATAACTTTGAAAATTCCCAAAGGTCATCTACATTAGGCCGGAATTCGTATTCTTGACGGACGTTTTTGATTGGCTGGCGAAAGCGGAAGTGGGTCTCCTGGAAAATCCTAACTTGAAATGCACATATGATGAAGATGATCATGACGATTGTAAAAAGGTTTTTTTTTGCGCTAATGTTTTTCCGTATATCGGTAATAGTAGTAGTTGTAGTAGTAATTGCGGTAATAGTAATAGTAGTTGTTGTAGAAGTAGCAGTAGTAATATAATTAATTTTAATATATCCTACTGGTTTCTTACTGCTTGTCAACCAAAAAATAACATGTAAATAACATGCAAATATGCACAGATATAATCAGTTTATTTACACACGCACACACACACGCACACACACACACACATTCAGATGCAGTCAACTAAGAACTACCAATGTTTAAAAGTGGCACTTATTCTAGCGGACAGACTAAATCCTTCATCGTCGTCGTCGTTGTCACAGTCACCATCTGAATTGGGTGGCCCCAGTTCCATTTTGTTGCCATGTTCACTTTCTCCGATCGGAACTGAAACATTTTCGGGCAAAAATCGCTGCAGCACTCACGCGCGCCACATCAGCAGCAAAGATATCTTAATAATCAACAACGAGAAACTGAAGAGCACTGATATCAAGATCTTACAGCTAGCGAAGGTTAAGTTAGATCAAATTTTATCGTCTGAGACCATATCGGCACCAATAGCAAGAGTTCGGCCCAAACCCAGAACTAATTATGGTACTAAAAATGGTGATAAGAATGTGGTGGGAGCAGGTTCGACCCCAGCTACCAAATCGGACCCAGATCCGATGATTTGCCGGACATCAGCGGCCTCCTACGTTAAATGTTTCAAAACTTTAGATTATCATAATGATGAGGAGGATGACGATGATGAATGTTACGATGACGTCATAGAGAATGATCCTGATAATAAGGACGACAAATCAGCCTCGCCACCATCATTGTTATTGAGTTCTTCATCGCCATCTTCTTCCTCCTCATCGCCATCTTCTTCCTCATCATCGCCATCTTCTTCCTCATCATCGCCATCTTCGTTGTGGCTGTCAGCGCCACTTCCACCTAAGCCAAATAATACAAACTTATTTGGTTGCGAAATTTTCCTGAGTCTCGCCTATGCTAAGAGGAGAACTCACTTGCACTACTATGGTCACCTCGTTGATAACTACGTCGCTGACTTTGTCAATGTCAAGGACGAGGTTAATGTAGTTCTCAATTTAGTGAATAACTCTTTTGCTCGTTCATTCATTCATTCATCTATCAATTCATCTACCCATTCATCAATTCACACATAATTAATCCACCCATATAGTCGCCAAGCATTATGGCGCTATCTGTGTCGACCTTGGATAGGCTGTCCTCGCTGGAGAGGTTCGTTGAGGAATGGCCTGGACCCCTTGGCATTCTGTTGTACGTCAGTGAACATGATGCCTACCATAACCTAGATTTCATAATAAGGTCATCTGCCATTTTGAGCCGGAAAGATATTGTTAGGAGGTTGGATGTCCATTTGGTCTATAAAAGAGACGTTAGTTAAGATGGTGATGGTGTTGGTGGTGATTTGTAAAAATGTCCCGACATTCATCTTAGCTGTCGGTCGATTATTATCCGGTACATATTTTTATGCCGAATTACAATACCTACTCACCTTCAGGGTCACAACCCGATCAACTACATGAGGAATGTGCTGCTCAACAACAGTTTCGCCGATTACAACTTCTATATCGATATCGATTTGATACCAAACAAAGGAGCATACCGAAGTCTTCAGAACATGATCAAATCGAATGGAAATTCGGTTAAAAAGGTTCGATTCTACTATATTTATAACACGGTTGTGTTGTTTCTATTAATGCACATCTCCATTAGATGAATTAATACATCAATGAATGAATGGATAATTTAATGAATGAATGAATGAACAAATCAATCAACCAATTAGTTTATAAAGCGTGGTTTCCGCGATGTTCAACAAGGCTCCTCAATGAATTTTGCAAACAGATAGGTCTTGAGATCCGCTCTGAACTTCTAAAGTAATTGAGAAGTAGTCAGAGAAGGAGGTAGAGAGTTCCAGAGAAAAGGGCCAGAAAAAGTAAATGCCGATTTAGCAAAAGAGTGTTTAACACGAGTTAAGAAGAAGTGAGAACAAGAAGACGATTGTAAACCGGCGCGTTCAGGTTCAATTAATATATCAATTATGTGTAGAATAAGGAAGGCTATAGTAGAGCGAGTTACAATAATCAATTCTAGATAAGACTAACGAAGTAACAAGAAGGAGAAAAGTAGGATCGTCAAGAAAAGGCAAAAGTTTTTTTTATACTACGTAGATGAAAGTAAGAACTTCAAGCAACACTATTAGTCTGAGAAGAAAGAGACATACTAGAATCAAAGATAAAGCCTAGACTACGAAACTTGTGAGAAATATCAAGAGTTTCAGAATTGGGTAAGATAATAGGAGGAATAGTAGAGCGTTTAGATTTATTAAAACGAATTCACATTTTAAAGGATTAAGTTTAAGACACAGAGTCAGACTATTGTGATAAGATGGAGGGAAAAAAGTATAACTCTAAGAATCATCAGCATATGGTTGACTAGTGAAAAAAAATATTAATAATACGAGGTATTTCAGAAGTACAGAGCATAAATATAAGGGAGCTAAGGATAGAACTCTGAGGTACACCGAAAGTTAAAGTAGAGGAGTTAGAAATAGAATTATTGAGAACAACAGAAGGAAAACGATTAAAAAATAAGAAGAAAGCCAAGATAGACAAGAATCAGTAATATTAAAAGAAAGATTTAGCAGCCTTATGAAGAGAATAGTATGATCAGGATCAACAGTACCAAAGGCAGAGTAAAAGTCAAGAGCAAAAAGAAGAGAAAGATTACTATTGCCATGTATAAATGATTAAGTGGATAAATGAATGAGTGGATGAACGAGTGCATGAATGATCGAATAAACCGCTCAATTATATTTTTATTAGATATTCTTGCTACCTGCTTTCAAGTCTGAAATATATTTGGATGAAAAATTGTTCCCAAAGAATAAAGGCGAACTTCTCAAATTAATCGAAAAAGGTTCAGTTAACGGAATTGGGTTAGTGTAGTTTGATCATTCACTTACTCATTCATTCACTCACTCATTCATTCATTCACTCATTCATTCACTCATTCATTCATTCATTCATTTCATTCATTTAATAAACTAATCAATTTGTTGTTCGTTTGTTCGCTCATTCATCTTTCATTCATTCGTTCGTTCGCTTTTGAGTTTTTCCATTCATTCATTCATTCATTCATTCATTCATTCATTCATTCATTCATTCATTCATTCATTCATTCATCTATTCATTCATCTATTCATTCATTTAGTCATTCAGTCATTCGTTCATTCATCAGCGTTAAATCTGGCTGGAAACTAGGACATCAGCCTACAAATTACAGTAGATGGCTTACTGCGACTGAACCGTATCGAGTATAACTTCTATTTTAAAAAATTATATCAATTTTAAATAAACAATTTTATTCATTTTTTCTGTTCATTCATTCATTCACTCTATCACCTAACCAGGCAGTATTCAAAGACGCGTTCGAACCGTACGTGGTGGCACCGAAATGGTTGTGGGCCCGTTTCAACGAGGACTTAATGGAAAGAATGGGCGATAAGATCGCATACGCCCGCCTACTCCACGGTCTCGGGTTTGAATTCTGGGTGGCCCCAAATGACTTCATCATCCACCTACCTCATATTTTAAGTGCCGGAACGAAAAAGTATTGGCTTTATCCAGACATTTACAGGTTTGTTTCTGTGTGCTGATGGTTTATTTGTTGTGCTTGTCTTCCTTCGAGGTGTTGATTTAAATATTTGTCTTTAATTTGAATGATGGAATAGCTGGATGAATGATTAAATTGATGAATGAATGAAAAAATGAATGAATGATTGAATGAACAAGTGAATGATTGAACAAATAATAATTTGAAAAACATATTATTTCCAGGTGTGGCTCTGTTTTATTCGAAAAGTATAGAACAGACCTCAACCTTCTATTCCCAAATGTTACATTTTGATCTATCACATTGCATTGTACAGAACACGTGTATAAGAATAAAAATGTGATATACATTTTAGCTTATTTTCTATTGGTTCGAAGTCTTATTTTGTATGTGGTTTCAACATGGTATTTTATTTTTAAACGGTTTGCTTTTTATTAAATTATTTAATACATTCGTCAGCTCTTTATTTTTTAAGATATCTTAACCATCTTCGAATCATACTTTTCAAATCGAACTGGGCAGATTTTTTATAACAAAGCCTGGTCTAAAATTAAGAATTTAAAGTTTGGTGTCCCTCGAGGGTCGTTGTTGGGGCCACCGTTGTTCCTGTCATACACACATGAGATCTTGGATGTTATCAAGTATTTTGGATTCACAGGGCCTGCCTTTGCTGATGATGATGTATAGATAATTGTTAGCTGTGAAATTGACACGTTGTCTGGTAAAGGTCAATAAATGGAGATTAAAACTTAATCAGAGTAGAACAAAGCTATTGCCAGTAGGAGCCTGGCAACAGCTCTCAAGAATTAATATCTCCTTACTAAATATAGATTATGTCAAAGTGGAATTCTGTTCAAATGCCTCAAGTCTGGGTGTTAGCATTGATTCTAAGTTAACGTTCGATTATCACATAAAATCACTGATGAGAGTCTGTACTTTCCAATTGCACATGTTGAAATTGATACAGAAATCTCAAGACAAAAATACTCTTAAGATGATGATGCGTGCATTTATCCGTTCGCGTTTGGACTATTGCAGCAGTTTGTTCAGAAGCTACAGTCAGTTCAGAATCGTGCGGCTAACTAAATCAATACAAATTATTAGACACACATGATACACACATACACTCATATATACAATACACACACCTAAACATACATATTTCAATTCTTACCATATTTCAATTTTTACTATATTTCAATTCTTACCATTCCCACACGCCCAGCCTTGCTCTAGCAATCAAACCTTCGCTTTCACATTCATGTCATAAAATTCAAAACACATTCAATACAAAAAAGCACATCTAATCGCACATAACACTCACTCACACTACAATTTGTACACATAGGCTAAAATAAGCATAGCATAAATATAGGTATAAATGTTCCAACGTCGTGAAGCCACATGCAAGAGGATTGAAAGCAGCAGCATACAACACACCATTCACAATTTAAATCAATCTTCGAAACAGGTATGTTTTTAATTCCTTCGTAATACACACACGCACACACGCATACACACACACACACACACACACACACACACACACACACATATATATATATATATATATATATATATATAATAATTTTAAATATTTAAACATGTATGCTTAGGTGTGTGTATCACATATATGGGTGCATGTGTGATTCATGTGTGTATAATAACTTGTATTGATTTATTAAAATTTTGTTTGTAGATGGCTATATGGTTTAATACAATGCATATATATATATAAATATATATATATATATATATATACATGCAATTGTATTAAATTGTATTAAATAAAATATACAAAATGTAGGTATTGCAAACTGTAAATTATAGTTTGGGAAGTAAAAAATTCGATTTCTTTTAAACTTGGCAGTTTGGAAATAAAATTTCACCTCTCACGACAATGCACCATCTAAAGACAAATAGCGTTTGATAACCTATTACCTTAGCGCTGACAGGACTCGAACCAGGTGCCAAAGAACGATTTCTATCATAAATACATGGCGTACATACCAACTGAGCTATCTCGCTCACTTGTTATTATTTTTTGTTCAATTTATTTGAGTTTTTAAAGGAATGGCTGTAGCTATCAGTTAGGTAGATATTTTTGGAATCCACACACACACATACAAACTCACTCACACAACACACACACACGCATACAGTTGTACAAATACAGCAAAGTGGGTACTTGTCTAAACAGAAACACACACTGGTACAACTAATACATTGATTGTAATGATGTACGAATAATTACATATGAACAACAACAATAAATAA